TATATAACAATAACCTTTGCAAAGTTCCCTGAACATCTACAAAACTCCCTTAAGTTTTTCGAAATTTACTCAACTTCTACGAAGTTACTTACCTTACCAATCAGGCTAAGGCCTTGTTGTCCTCTGCTGTCCGAAGAAGTCGTCTCCACTCTACTCGATCCATGGCCACAGTTCGCCAGCCTCGTAGTCTGCGAAGGGTCCGCAGGTCACGTTCTACTTGGTCGATCCACCTTGCCCGCTGCGCGCCTCTTCTACTTGTTCCTGTTGGGTCGCTTTCTAGAACTATTTTCACTGGGTCGTCGTGTGGCATTCTTACAACGTGCTCAGTCCACCGTAGTCGCCTAATTTTTGCAATGTGGACGATGGATGGTTCGTCCAGCAGTTGGTGCAATTCGTGGTTCATTGGCCTCCTCCATCTGCACTCCACCGGAGGTGGTACGCAACACCTTCCGTTCGAAAACACCAAGGGCGCGTAGGTCCTCCACGAGCATAGTCCACGTCTCGTGGCCGTAGAGGACCACCGGTCTAATCATCGTCTTGTAAACAGTCAACTTCGTGCGGCGGCGAATTTTATTCGACCGGAGCGTCCTCCGGAGTCCAAAGTAGGCACGATTCCCTGCCATAATGCGTCTTTGAATTTCTCTGCTGGTATCATTTTCGGCGGTCACCAGTGAGCCCAAATACACGAACTCATCGACCACCTCGATTTCGTCACCGTCAATCTGAACTCGGGGTGGGAGGCTAACATTGTCTTCCCTAGAACCTCTTCCTTTCATGTATTTTGTCTTTGATGCGTTGATGGCAAGTCCAATGCGTCTAGATTCAGCCTTCAGTCTGATGTACGTTTCCGCCATCATCTCAAAGTTCCGTGCCATAATGTCAATGTCATCGGCGAAGCCAAGGAGCTGGATGGGCTTCCTGAATATCGTGCCACTCGTGTCTATCCCAGCTCTTCTGATCACACCTTCTAACGCGATGTTGAACAACAGACACGAAAGTCCATCACCTTGCCGTAACCCCCTTCGAGATTCAAAGGGACTCGAGAGTGTCCCCGATACTCGAACAACGCACATCACTCGATCCATCGTCGCGTCAGTTTGTCCGGAAATCCGTACTCGTGCATAATCTGCCATAGCTGACCTCGATCGATTGTGTCGTATGCGGATTTGAAATCGATGAACAAATGATGTGTGGGCACGTTGTATTCGCGGCATTTCTGCAGAACCTGCCGAATCGCGAAAATTTGGTCCGTGGTAGCGCGGGCACCCATGAATCCCGCCTGGTATTGCCCCACGAACTCTCTTGCATATGGTGACAGACGGCGGCATAGAATTTGGGAGAGTACCTTGTAGGCGGCGCTCAGCAGTGTGATCGCGCGGTAGTTGCAGCAATCCAACTTGTCGCCCTTTTTGTAGATTGAGCATACGACACCTCCCAAATCTTGGCAATTACCCAGTGCAGTGCTCTAGCCAGTGCTTCACCACCGTATTTTAATAGCTCACTTGGTAGTTGATCTACACCAGTTGCTTTGTTGTTCTTCAGCCGACCGATCTCCTCCTCAACTTCTTGAAGATCAGGGGCCGGTAGCCTGTCGTCTTCTGCGCGTGCTCCAAGGTCTGTTGCCGTGCCACCTTCGTTTTCTGCTGCTTCACCGTTGAGGTGCTCGTCATAGTACTGCTTCCACCTCTCAATCACCTCACACTCGTTCGTGAGAAGGTTACCGTCCAAGTCCTTGCACATATCGGCTTGCGGCACGTAGCCTTTGCGCGAACTATTTAGCTTCTCGTAGAACTTCCGTGTGTCGTTTACGCGGTACAGATTTTCCATCGCCTCGCGATCTCGATCTTCCTGCTGACGCTTCTTCCTTCGGAAAACCGAGTTTTGTCTGTTCCGCGCTTGTCTGTATCGCTCCACATTCAATCTCGTGCGGTGTTGCAGCATTCTCGCCCGTGCTGCATTCTTCTCCTCTACTAACAGTTTGCATTCGCCGTCAAACCAGTCATTTCTTCGGTCCGGAATTGCAGTACCTAGTGCCGCTGCAGCAGTACTACCTATGGCTGAACGGATGTCCCTCCAGCCATCTTCAAGAGAAGCTGCGCCAAGCTGCTCTTCCGTGGGTAGTGCAACTTCCAGCTGCTGCGCGTAGTCCTGGGCAACTCCGGCGTCCCGTAGTTGCTCAATGTTGGGTCGCGGCGTTCGACTTCGACGTGTGTTATGCACCGTCGAGAGTTTTGAGCGCATGCATACTGCAACTAGGTAGTGGTCCGAATCTATGTTCGCACTGTGGTACGTGCGGACGTTGATAATGTCGGAGAAGAATTTCCCGTCGATTAGAACGTGATCGATTTGGTTTTCTGTGTATTGGTCAGGTGATCTCCAGGTGGCTTTGTGGATATCCTTGCGGGGGAAAAAGGTACTTCGAACTACCATACCCCGAGAGGCTGCAAAGTTCACGCATCGTTGGCCGTTGTCGTTCGATACGGCATGCAGACTGTTTGGCCCGATTGCTGGTCTATACATTGCCTCCCGTCGTACCTGAGCGTTCATGTCGCCGATGACGATTTTGACGTCCCGTTGCGAACAGCCGTTGTACACCTGCTCCAGCTGCGCATAGAACGCTTCTTTCTCGTCGTCGGGTCTCCCTTCGTGTGGGCAGTGCACGTTGATGATACTGTAGTTGAAGAAACGGCCCTTAATCCTCAACTTGCACATCCTCGCGTTGATCGGCTGCCAACCAATCACGCGTTGGCGCATCTTACCCAGCACTACAAAGCCGGTTCCAGCTCGTTGGTGGTGCCACAGCTCTGGTAGAAAGTAGCCGCTCGATGCCCACTTTTCCATACCTTTTGTCCCGTCCAGCAAAGTTCCTGCAGTGCTACGACTTCGAAGTTGCGTGGTTGAAGTTCGTCATAGATTAACCTATCGCAACTCGGAAAGCCGAGGGATTTGCAGTTCCATGTTCCGAGTTTCCAATCGTAGTCCTTATTTCGTCGCGTAGGTCTGTGCCGATTGTTCCGATCCGTATTTCTTTCTTCAGTATTTGCAACTTTGTTTTTTTCCAGGGCGGCTTGTTGGGCCTGCCCCAACCCCCTGTCTCGCCGGGGGACCATCGTGCACAGCTCTGTTTAGAGTCCCACGCTGGCACTAGGACGGTGATCAGCCGCTCCTAACATGGAGAACAGACGCCGTTTTGAGCCGCACCTCCATGATGAACAGACGCTCAGGTTTGGTGAAGCATTTCCTCTATCACCGTACTATGGTTACCGCGCCAGTGTTCGCGTCGCACCTCTTCACTTTGCTATTGCCGGACTGGCTACATTGCCCAGGCTACGCCACCCAGCTGTGTCCATGTTTCAGCTGGTAGTCTTTTGTTATCATATGACTCGAGGAGGCGTGAAGTAGGAACTTTTGAGGACCAGGGCTAGGTATTCCGCTCCTTCCAGGTTGTCAACTCACCATTTTGAATTTTGTTCTACGAAGCTCTCTGAGTTTATTCAAAATTCCATATTTTTCCATCTCTCTTGATTCTACGAAGATCTCTGAATATTTTTGAGCTTCTGGAAAGACCCCCACAAATATTCCTTGAAATTTACCGAAGCTCCCAAAACTTCCAAGAAGTTCATTGAGCTTTTACTTCAAAGTAAGATCTCTGACAAACTGCAACGAAGTTTCCTAAACTGAAGCGAGGATCCCTGAAGTTCTTAGAAGTTTGCTGAACTATTTTAAGATGCTCTAAAAAATTCCCTGCAGTTATATGAAGTTTTATGCAGCTTCTCAAAATGCTACGAAATTCGCAAAACTTCTACAAAGTTTGTTGCACATCTACGTTTCACGTCCGCGAAGTTCCACGTATGGAATTTATTGAACGTGTTCCCTGATCTATTTCAGGCTTCAATAAAGTGTCCAGAAATTATATGGAGATCTTCGAACAATAATGAGGTTCACTGAAATTAAATAATGTTTAACTTCTACAGAGATCCCCGAACTTAAATAGAGCTCCCAATTATACGCAGTTTTTTGAACTTTTCCAAAGCTCGCTGAGTTTCTACGATTTTTCTGAAGTTCCAAAAGAAGTTCCCAAAGCTTCGCCAATGGAAATAAATAAACTCAGATGGTTAGTCGTATCACAGACAAAAAGACGTAACTCTTTAAATAAATTTTCCAGTTCCGAAGACGTAGTAGTGACCGTTAGTGTGTAGTCGGAAACGATGGTGACAGTTCAGGATCATTGATTACAATTTTAGGACGCAATTCATGACCATGATTAAAATACTGGCACCTCTGTACGTGCATGTTGCGAAAGGCGCATTATAACAGTTTGTTCACGGAGAGTGCCGAGCAAAAATGCCTTCGGTTGTTATTTGTGATGTGCATGTAGTGTTTGTACGTATACATATATAATCTTCCATTGACTGCCCAGTAATGCTTTCACGTTTGAAAAGTGTCCAGTTCTCTGGTAAAGATTGCATCATACATTAAGAGAGATCGTTTGAGCTAATAACGTTTTCTCACGATTAAAGTCAATTCGATGAAAATATAGTTGACAGCGATTTATAGGTAACACAAACACATTTGTACATTTCTTGACAAATGATCATCATCATCATCAAAGATGCTGATGATGCTGACTAATTTCAATTACAGGTTGCAAAAACGAACGCAAATAGGTATCCAGGCCCGTTTAAACCGCCCCGTCACGCAAGCGTGTGTCTAGCACTCATTATCTGCTATAGAAACCGTATCTTTACGGCGTTTCGTTAGCGATCGCAGTTTTACCTTAAATGCTTATCGAACTTGTAAGAACCTGAGTCCGATAAGACAAGACTGTTTCGTCAGTTTTTAAAATGACAAACACCTTCCCATTTATGCCTATCTCTGTTGGTTACTTATTCACTATCTTTGATAAGAGGCAGAAAAGTGCAATTTCACTATTGGCTTTTTTGGCGTTGGGATTATTAAATAACGCACAATCATTAACCCCATTCCGTTTTTAATTCTAGCACCCCGGTGGTGAGGAAGTTCTGCTGGAGCAAGCCGGAAAGGAAGCCACAGAAGCGTTCGAAGATGTCGGTCACAGCACAGATGCCCGCGAGATGATGAAGAAGTTCAAGGTCGGTGAACTGATCGAATCGGAACGGAAGCAAGTCCCAGTTAAGAAGGAACCCGACTGGAGCGCCGACCAGAAGGACGAAAAGTAAGCTTTAGAATGACCAGTGTTCCAAAAAAAAAAATACTCATCCTTATTCTATTCACTTTCAGCTCCCTGAAATCGTGGATCGTGCCACTGATCCTAGGATTAATTGCGACCATCATCTATCGGTTCTACTTCACTCAGTAACCTACCACCAAGTATACACCAGTGTGTCCGGAAAGGAAACCTCTACGTAGCCGTGCCGAACGTTCTCTTCATTCCAAATACCTACGACAGCTAGAGAGAAACCTATGCATACAGTGACACTCAAACAAACATAGACAGAAAGACACACACACACACACAAAAGCGCTAAGTACTTTCTAGGCGACACAGGAGCAGAAGGAAAATAACGATTGCGTTCACAATTTTATCCATTTTTGACTAATTAAGTATGTATTTAAGGAGGACTACAGTGCAAGGGAAAGGGATCTATACAGCAAAGCTTTAGAAACGAGACATTTTTTATTCCAATTCTACCTATTTCATGTAACCTAAGCGATGCGCCCGAGATTGAAAGCTAAACAAACTTGCAAAATTTTAGAAGGGAGAATGAATTGATTCTAGGAAAACCAAAAACGAATAATATATTGATTTGAACACAGCTACACAGCTATTTTTTGTGGTATGTTGATTTCGTTCAACGTGGAAATTTAAAGAAACTTGGATTTCGAACTTGTCTGCACTGTTTCGTAGTATGGTTGAAATGAAAAATAATTGTTGACCTTGGTAAGGTTTGTTTGTAATCAGCATTTTTTTTTTATGATTCAAGGTTATATTGATGTTTGATTATTTGTTTTTCCTTTTTTAAGCAAATTTGCATAATATTTCTGGGAATAAACTAAAACTATATTTGTACGTACGACTGATTCTTAAAGGTGCTAATATCACATCCCCAAACATCCGGGGAAGGAGTAAAATTAATACATTGATCATATTTAATGATGGGATGGAAAATAAGCTTTTCATATGCATGGTGGAGGGCATCCTGGAAGGCTCGGTAAGAGTCAAGAATGGTAGAACAATAATAGGATGAAGAACAACAAGAAAATAGAGGATAGTGTTACTCGAGGATGCGATGATGGAAATTGAGTGAAAGTGAATGAAGAGATGCAAAATAATAAACCCGACGTCTGGATTGAATCTGATTAAATAGAAACTAATAGCGTATTTGTTTATTATTCAGTTCAACCTGGATCGGGTATCAAAATCGGCTCTGTTTGTTTTCTGACAAACGTCAGTTTGACCGTTTGTTTTTAAAACCTACCTCAGGTTCAGGTTCGCACTGACAAAAAGTTCGGTTTCACACTGGTTCCTACCCCGATAATAAACAAATTCGCTATAAGAGATCGTTTTGACCTCTGGTGGTGAACAGAAGAATCTTCAAAAGAGTATGTATTGAGGGCTACACTGCCGTGCAAGTCTGTCCAAGTTGCGTGCAGTGAAGAAAACAACGGTTGAATATTTCAACACATGATGGCTAATTTTCGAATTAGTGGGCGTTGGCCAAATTTGGATTTTTCAGATATAATCCTAAATAGGACCTAGATTATTTAATACTCTAGTAACCTCAAGTCCGTGCTCTGTCACAATGTTTTATTGTGATTAATCAACACTCAAAGGGGTAAAATATAAAATTTGAGGTGAACTTGGAGTGTAGAGCGCACTGCCCACTGGACGATTCTGAAGCCTGGCCAAGTGAGTGGGGTATGGGTTTATTTGATTGAACGTCATTTCCAATGTATATATTGATGCATTCAAACCATTGGCATTTGAGATAAGACAGAGATAGGATGCGGAGGGCCCGCTTAGGGGGAGCGTAACCCATGTTATGGTTTCCATTTATTGAATAGTTCAGATGGGCTAGAAATGACAAGTTCATAGTGAGAAAATGTACCATATTGGATCCGTTCACTGATCAAAATCAGATTCACATCGTCAGGCCCTGCCCATGAATAAGGGGATTGACGATGTTTTGTCAAGTTTTATTTTGCATTTGCATTTTGCATTTAATACTCTAGTAAATCTCACGTCCGTGCTCCATCACAACATTGTGATGTGTCAATACTCACTGGGTTATATGTCTTAGACCAGTTCCAGATTAGTTTGCTATGAATATCTTCTGCATCGCAGTTCGATTACAGAGAGATTACTAAATATGGGTTCTCTTTTCCGACCATAATAGTGTGAGGGAAGGGGGTGAGTTAAACGTTGCGATCTGAGAGCGAAATAGAGGCAAATAAATAGGGAACTCAACACCATGACCCAAATAAGTAGCCAGGCTTGCTTCCACTCATTTGCTATAAAAGGGTGGTTTTCTGAGTTTTGAAATCGTTAGATGTTATAATGATGTTTTGTGCTTGCTGGATACAAAAACAGGTTGAAAGGCGGTTGTTTGACACATGGGACCTGTCAGATTCGCTTTCGGATAGTCGCAATCAGCGATTTTGCGACACCAATCGTAGAATTTCTGATTGTGACACTCAGGGTGCGGGATTGACGGGTTTCGTGTGTCAAGCACATACTTTAAAACCTCTTTTAACTTGCAAGTACAACATATCATACAAACATCTATTGATTTCATAATTCCGAAAATAGCATTTTTGTTATGGCAAGTTAGTGGAAGCAACCCTGTAAGTAACCAATACATGCGGCTCACACTTAACTTGTTCTATTTCTTTCTTCCTATCATGTACTAATATTAACTGCCTGAGGACAAATGGGAACACGACACACAACCAGAAGTTCAATAGGAGGAAAGTAGCGAAAAGTTTGAACAAGAAAAGAAGAGCGGCAAGAGTGCAGTAAACGTATCAAATGATCCCCAAATGATTGTTGCTGGCAGCGTACTGGCAGCCGAATAATAATAATAATATAAAAATAAAAATAATACACAACCGACAATATCACTGCAGACAAGCGTGTGAAGCATGTGAATAAAATTCATCAGTACGTCACAGCAAAGGCACAGGGGCTTATGGCAGCAAAACCCCAACAAGGAAATCAAGCAAACCAATAGGAATTTGACCTGGGCCCAGGTCAAGCAACCGCTCAGAATGGAGGTTTCTCATGTTGGCCCTCTGCACCTCTGGAGGTTCCCAGGATACTTGAGTGAGTGAGCACGTGAAGAGGGACGTAACCCGCAGGAGCGGGAATGAAAGCGGACATAGCTCATGCAGCACAACAAGTCGGCGTGTTGTTTTTGTTCTTCTCTTTTCAGAAAAAAACAACAAATACTCTATCGCTCTTCTCTATTATTTTATTCTCTTACTATTCCCTACAAATCTGAAGCTAGTGGGACTGCCTACGGGAGCAACAGGCCTGCTGGTGGAAGAAAGTCGTTATGCTATACGGTCTAGCATAGGGCACGACCAAAATTTCCGTAGGTTCATACCTAGCTTAAAGTGCAGATGAGCGGACGATATTCGGCCAGGGTGTGAGCTGAGCAATAACAATAACAATGATGGCTAATTTTCGAATTATTCACTATTTTAAACAAAACATGTAGATCACAAGTGTGGTATTTATGACAATCGAATGCAATACAATCGTAATGTATTATTGAAACATTATATTAACATCTCTCATAACGTTTTCCCATTTCCGGATCATCGTCGACGGGAGATGAGCGTCGGGAGAGTGAGTGTAAAACGAGGACATGCATTGCAGATGTTTCTTGCTCATGGTCAGATCTATTTAGAATGCACAATAGCCGTGAATTTCTAATGCTTGACAAATGCCATTCTAAGACTAGAACATTGATTTGCATGGAGCGTCACCTCACACGAGGTGACAGAGAGTCACGTGACCCGCAGAATAAGGGGGATTGGATAAAAATATTGAAAGTGATTCGTATTGGCGCTGACGGCTTCGTCTCGAGCCAACGTCTCTTCAGAGGTACTCCGAAATTTTCACCAGTTATAGATAAACAATCGAATAAGAAGTATTGAAGAGCGAAAAAAAATTGTCATTACCCTGAAAATAGTAGAGCCGATCTTGATACCCGATCCAGGTTGGAACTGAATAATAATAAAAAAAAAATCGCTATTAGTGTCATCATGCGGGACCACTGATCCAACCGAAAACTCCTCTGCCACGAATCAAACTTTCGAGATTGAGCAAGGCCTTATAATTGACTGATTGGTAGGCCACCCATCGCACCGGGCCCTTTGGGACGAACTAGTGCAACAGAAGAGTGCAGATTGGATCGTTGATGATGGGGCTTACTCACGGAATAGAATGTAATTGCATTGATCTGTTCCTATAAATCTTTTACTGTTTCGCTAAGGCAATCGTACATCGAACCAGATCTGATGGAATATTTGGGGTTAATTCGTATCGACATCGCCCAGCAGTACTGGGACTTGTATGGACATCCCTATAAAGTCCTGTGGATTTCCCATAAGTCAATACCAATTGAAACCAAGGACTGGGAAGAATACCTGACGGAAAACCCTGGGCAAGACCGGGAATCAAACCTGACAGAAATACAAAACCCATCACCCACACCCCCCATGATGTGGTTTTTTCTTGATCGTTCGTTCTGCATAACAAACTTGTAAAACAAAAATCCTTCCCATCAGCTAGCACAATATTGACGTCGTTCAGAGGATTTTTGTCCATTCAGTTCGCCGATCGCATTCTCCACCGTACCGTGTATTGGGCGATCTTACAGGCATTTGATCAACCGTTGCTGGAGGGAATCCATTTTGGCTTTCTTGACTGTCGTATCGACCCTCTCGATCGACCATGGTAATTCAGCGTTGCCAGAATGTTTTTAAGCTTATCGGTATCAAAGGTTTTAAAAAATCGGTATTTATCGGTATTTACTATTTTAATTAATTTTATATTTTTGCCGTTTGCGAAAATTTTAACTTTTGGACGATGATTGGAAAATTCCGGAAGGAAACTGCAGGGAATGTTTGAATTAGCTTCTGGAGGAAGCTGAAAACAACATCCAGAGAAAGAAGAAAGAAGCTCTCCTGGAGGAAAGTTCTGAGAGAAGTCGGAAAAACATCCGTGGAACTTCCAATTTAGAAGCTTCTGGCGAAAACTTAAAGAAACTTTTAGAATCAAATCGGATTTTGTCTGCCTTCCTTTGAGACAAGTTTCGGAAATCGGAAATAAATTCCAGCAGTAGCCATTTCCAGGGGAAGCCGGAGAAGCTCGGAAAAACCTTCCAATAGAAGTAAAAAAAAAACCAACTAGGCAAAATTCCAGAACTAAACGAAAGAAATTTCTGAACTTCCTGGAGAAAACAGAAGAAACTTCTTGGAGACGCTGGCAGAAACTTCCTAAGGTAGATTAGAGAAAAAAAAAACTGTAGGAAGTTGAAAGAAACAAGGATATAATTCCGGAAGAAAGAGCTCTTGGGGGATGTTCTAATGATCCAGAAAATTTTCCAAATGGTCATAAAACATCCCTGAAGAACCTGCAATGCCCCTGAAGTTTTTGGAACATTCCTGAAATGTAGTTAGGAATATTACATATTTCCTCGGAATTCCTTAAAAGTTCTTATAATTTTCCCTAAGTTAATAAGGCTGTTTTGAAGTACTCTGATCATCTTTGAAATACTTGGAACTTCCCTGATTATAATGAGACTACCGGAATATCTCTAATCAACTTTGAAGGTCTCTAGACTTTCTTAAAAATTAAGAAATTTCTTAGTCACTCTCGCAATTTGACATGAAGCTCTTTCTAGAAATAAGAAATAAAGAAGATATACATACATACCAGATTGAAATAAACTTATTCTATGTTTGGTGTAACAAAAACCTCCTGCAACTAAACGTTCAAAAATGTAAATCAATAGCTATTAGTAGAAAAAGAAACAAACCAGAAAATACAATTGTTTTAGG